ATGAGTTTATAGGCGATAAAATCGAATGTTGAGTGCCACCAATTTACGCCTACTACATATAATCAGTCAGATTTTTCTCACTATACCACTTCAATGAAAGGAAAGCTGATAGAGACACCATTATCACCCACCTACCTAGCAACCGTAACTATGGGGCCAGAGATCTGAAATCTGAGACCATAGTTAATAGAGGGGAATGGTTAGGAAACCTATTGTTATAGGTCTTTGTTCACTTGTGAGGTTGAATCGGTCTTGACCGTGCAATATGTTTGATTTATGCTCATCCGAAATTGCAAAATAAGCAAACATAAACTTTGTCTATGGGATTGTTGTAAGGAATATTCAAATATCTCTTATAAATCTTTAACTATTTTGAACTAGCAGCCAAAAGAAAGTTTTTTGTCTGTTCACTCAGCCATTGCCAACAATGGTAAAACAATGGTAATACAAAGGGTTGTGCACGGTCACGCTTGAAAAAAGTGAACAAAGACCTATAAYAAAAGAGAGATGTTCTCCGATGAATGCGCGCTTATTCAGCGAAATCCTCTTATAAGGGAATGAATGAACACAACAGGGAGTTTGACAATTTTTTTGCCGACTTGATTTGAACTGCAAAACCGAATTTTCTTTACCGTATCCTATAAGGGAATAATGTTCAACAAGAATTTTCCAGCTGCAATACTGCTATCTAGTATTTTTCACATACCCCTTGGAGGTGGGCCTGTGTTCAACAACATGGCTGTGGAAGGTCTACACTCCACTACCAAATCTGCCGTCATCCTCTTCTATGCTGCACGATATGAGAAAACTAAATACATGCGCAGGTAGCCAGAGCTTTAAAGTTAAGAGAGACCGAGTAGTAACAACGACCTTCGAGTTAGAAATGGTTTTTTTTGCATTTTAGCCGGAAAACATCGCCCTGATTTCAGGTCTTAGACCGACAACCTTTATTTTTTTGAAACAGGTGTACATAACGATAGGTGTATATAGTGATAGCCAATGATTAGAAACCAGTTGAAATGTGAGTTGCGAGCTGTTACACATAGAATATTGAGCGAGTGTTAGTGTGTGTGATTAAAAGTGGACCAAATTGGAATCCATTAGTCATACGCACTTGTCCACCCACTTTTTAAAAATTTATTTGTCGTATATCCCATTCAGTCGCTTCTGGACCTTCCTCTGTTTTAATGAAATACGTCAAGCCTTTGATGTCTATTTCGAATCATATAATTATATAAAACTATTTTTAAAACTAAAAAAGCTGAAAAATCCATAAGACTTTGAAGTGGCTTCCTTATTCATTCATATCGCAAATTAAAAACTTCAAAAACTTGAAATCCCATTTATCAATAGTTTAGCAACTATATATCTGAATCTAAACAGCCTTGTTTAAGTAGATGACAGATTGGAGAATCAGTTGAATGAGACTTGTAGTTCCGCACCCCCGTACTTTATTTATTCCTTTAGCATTAGCTGCGAGAAACACGAGACAAGTAGATATATATCCGTAGGACACTGGAGCGGAATTAACACGTAAATAAGAGATATTTTTGACTTATTTGTTTGTTATTACTATTCCGCTTTACCTCTTGAGTTCGAGGAGGCGCTTTCTAGAAAAAAGCGAAAAACAAACATTGACCCGGGTTCGAATTAATGTACAGTACTCGGTATCTTACGGGAGTAGACTTTTCTAGATCTGAGTGTTCGGTTTACTTTCCCTCCCTACGGAGAACCTGCTAAACTACAAATCGATCTTAGGATTAGCCATACCCGGTTTTTTTATGAGTCTGGAGGTTGTTTTCAGGGTTTGATCTAAGAGTTAGCCATGCCCTGACTTAGATCAGCCCAGAGGTTGGTTCAGGGTTCGTTCTGTGAGTTAGCCATGCCCTGACTTAGATCAGCCCAGAGGTTGTTTCAGGGTTCTATCTGTGAGTTAGTCGTGCCCTGACTTAGATTAGCCCAGAGGTTATTTCAGGGTTCTATCTGTGAGTTAGCCATGCCCTGACTTAGATCAGCCCAGAGGTTGTTTCAGGGTTCAATCTGTAAGTTAGCTGTGCCCTGACTTAGACCAGCCCAGAGGTTGTTTCAGGGTTCTATCTGTGAGTTACCCATACCCTGACTTAGATCAKCCCAGAGGTTGTTTCAGGGTTCTATTTGTGATTTAGCCGTGCCCTGACTTAGATCAGCCCAGAGGTTGTTTCAGGGTTCTATCTGTGAGTTACCCATACCCTGACTTAGATCATCCCAGAGGTTGTTTCAGGGTTTGATCTGTGAGTTAGCCATGCCCTGACTTAGATCAGCCCAGAGGTTGTTTCAGGGTTCAATCTGTGAGTTAGCCGTACCCTGACTTAGATCAGCCCAGAGGTTGTTTCAGGGTTTGATCTGTGAGTTAGACGTGCCCTGACTTAGATTAGCCCAGAGGTTGTTTCAGGGTTTGATCTGTGAGTTAGCCGTGCCCTGACTTAGATCATCCCAGAGGTTGTTTCAGGGTTCGATCTGTGAGTTAGCCATGCCCTGACTCAGATCAGCCCAGAGGTTGTTTCAGGGTTTGATCTGTGAGTGAGTTAGCCATGCCTTGACTTTTATAACTCATAGAAATTAATTAATTTAGAAACAAATATTTATATATAAATATATCAGAAAATATCAGAAAATATTTTTCACCAACGATAAATTTGCTATGCATTTCTCGTACTAGATATTTGGCAGCATTTCTTTTTTTTTTTTTTTTTAATGGGTTTT